AAAAAAAAAAAAAAAATTTACCTTGTTGGAGAAGAATCCTTTGCCGAGGCCGTAGAATTTTTTCGACATTTTTTTGGATTTTTTTTGATGCTCGAATCGTTCGTTGAAGTTCGGAAGTTTAGAGAGATAGAAAGTTTAGAGAGATGAAATCAAAAAAAGGGTTAAGGGCAAAAGAGTAATTGGGGGAGGGGGGCGGTGACTAGTAAAAGGGGGGCGGTGAATAGCGATTGAGAAGAAATTTGAGAGTTTGAAACATTGTTTTTCAACGCGGACCGACCTGGCGGGTTGACCCGGGACCCGGTCGACCCAGAGCCAGAACCAGTCCGGGTGGGCTATTTGGACCGGATAACAATAGCCCCAGTTAAACCTAGTCAAAACCCGGCCAAGACCCGGGTCATTGACCCGGCCGGGTCAAGTCAGTTGACCCGGTCCCTATATATTTTTTTATTTTTTTAAATATTTTTTTATATAAAAATTAAAAAATAAAAACTATGCAAATATATTGATATGAAAAATATTTATTGTGACATACAATTCTTTTAACACTTTGTACAAATTTTATATACAAAACATTTATTTTTGTTACTTTTATGTATATTTATATGTCAAAAATACTATATATAAATTTTAAAAAATTTAAAATTAATTATCCGGTTAAGCAATTGACTCGATGATCCAGAAACGGGTCGATTTCCGGGCCGAGTTTAAAAACTATGATTTAGAATGAAAATAGAGAAAAAAGAAGGATAATTTGGGACAGTGTGTGCGTGCGAAAGTAATAAATAAAGGAGAAAAAGAAAAAAAAATAAAAGAAAAGGGAAAAGAAAACTACTCTCAAACGTCATAAAGAAGCACATATTTTGTGGAAAAAAAAGTGTCTAGAAAAAAAATATTGATTAAAAAAATAAAGATATATAATTTTTTTTGATTTTGTTTGAATTTTTTGATTTGATTTGATTAATTTTGAAAAAAGTGGTATGGTTAGTTGTTATTGAATGTATTAAAATAATATTTAAAATAAAATAATTAAAATTGATTTGATGTAAAAATAGGAGAGAGATATTTGAAGTGATAGTTAGTTAAAATATTGTGAGTGGATGAATAGTGAATTAAGGTTGATGTGGTATGTATGAATGATTGATTGATATTATTTAATTATATTGATAATTTTGATGATAGTGGAGTTGACTTAACATTGAGTTCAAAAAAGTAGTTGAGTTAAAATATTGATTTTTTTTTTTAAAAATTCCATAAACAAACATGCTATGGTTTGCAAGAAAAATAAATAAAATAAATAAGTAGTCATAACACGCCATTTTATCTCTAATCCTAAACGTCTTGTTGTAGTCTATCAATACACCATAAAGGGTTCTCATTATCTTGCTCTGAAGACTCAAGCCTAGGGCTGCAAACGAACCAAGCCGAGTCGAGCATTGACCTTATCGAGCGTTGAATTTTTTTTAGCTGATCGAGCTCAATTTTTGAGGCTCGAGCTCGACCCGATAAAAAATTACAATTGCGCGAAATCAAAATGCACGAGCTCGGCTCGAGTTCGGGTCGAAAATTTTAAAGTGGAAAAGTAAAATTACCATTAAGCACCTATGTTATATATATAAAGGGTATTTTAGTAACTTCACATATATCTCGAGCAGCTCGACATTGCAAAATATGAGCTCGAGCTCGAGGCGAGCTTTGACTCGAGCGCTCGCGAGTCGCTCGGTTCGTTTGCAGTCCTACCCACGCCAACACCCTAAAAAAAGACACATGAAAAAAAAAGGAGAGTCGGCCGATTGATTGGAGGAGAATCGCCCACCCAATTTCCAAGCAAGATGAACGGAATACAAAATAAGGTCTAAAGGAGAGTCGGCCGATTGATTGGAGGAGAATCGCCCACCCAATTTCCAAGCAAGATGAACGGAATACAAAATAAGGTCTAAAGGTTGTCGAGGCTACTTGTTCGTCCAAATAGATCGTGCATTAATCTAAGAGTCATCCATAACAACAAAAGGTACGATTAATTATATCCATTAGATCTGCTGCATGTAGTGATGCATGTAGGAATAAATTGGATGCGCAAATTTCAAACATATCATAAATCCGACGTTCTTACCTCAGCCTACACAATGAACTATTTAAGAACTTACTCTTCAACTTGACACCAATTGTATGGACACGTACTGAGTAGAGATGTTTCAATCAGATAACACAACTATGGAAGACAAAACAAAGGAAGCACAAATATGAAACTGTTGGCAACACATTAAACATTTATGCATAAAAACTAAAATATAGAAAACTATTGACATACTGAATAAGTGCTCAAGAACTGATTTAACCCACACAAAACTAGAAACAAACATCGCATTGCAATAATTTTCAGCAAAACATTTGCCAACTTCTGTACTAAATATTAGCATAAAACAAATAACTGCTTACCTCAGACTACATACTTGGTATCCTTTTCCTACCCTATTCTAGCAATTTTCAAATTCTACAGACCTGCATCAATTCATGTATGAATAATACATATTTAAATCCACCATACAGACAATAATTTGTACAGAGAGCTATTAGAAGCATTATTAACAGTAAAAATTAAGCTAAAAAGTGCAACAATGGCAACCCAACTCATTTATCCAACTTGTGTGCACATACTGAACTATTCAAGAACTTACTCTTCAACTTGACACCATGAATGGAGGCAGTACATGAAACACGCTCAAGACATATACGACTCGAACAGCCTCCTAACTAGAGAACCGTTGCCAAATATAACAAACTTAACTGTTGTCACATACTTGATGATTGATATGTTTTATCACTGGACATAACCAAATTATGCATGTTCACACAGAAGAAGCACCAATTTCAATAATCAACTGAAAACAAAAACTAAAAGGCTACCACAAGTAAATCAATCAATCTCCAGAATTACCCACAGACGTATCATCATCATCATCATCGTCCTCACCATCATCCATTTCTCTTATTTTAGCGATTTCAGCCTGGGCACGCTCGACAATCTGCTTCTTCTGCAACTCCAGCTCCCTTTGGAAATCCTGCCTCATCATCTCTAGCTCCATCATCTGCTTCCTCTTACTCTCCTCAATCTTCTCATATATCTCCCCAAACTTGTGAATCGACTCAGCCAACACCCGAGTCGACTCACCATCAGACTCAGCTTCATTTTCCCTCTCATCACCATCGTTGTTATCCTCCTCGTCCGACTGTCCAGGGCTGTCTCTCATCTCGTCTAACACGTTAGACATTTCCAGGTACACTTTTGGGTTCAGAAAAACGTATTCACCTGAATCCACACCGCAGCCTAGCCCAGAAGAATGCCCTCTTGTATTCCGCGTGCTCAGCAGCCCATCCATTTTCTTGAAAAACACCCATTTGCTCCCCTGCCCACTTTCCACTTTGCCCATTTCCTTTTTGTATTTCTTCTTCAGCACGTCCATTTGGTTCCGGCACTCTGCCTCCGTCCTCTCTGATACGCCCATTTCCACTATTTTCTCCGTGACGTCAGCCCAATCGTCAGCCCTCAAGCTCCTGCGGCCGAGCTGCAAAAACCTCTCGCCCCAGGCTTCCAGCAGAACCGAGCTTTCATCCTCGCTCCAGATTTCTCTCCGAGGTCCGATTTCATAGTTGGAGACGAAGGACTCTAGCTTTCTCTTCTTTGGGTGTCGCTTGGACTCCTCGTAATTGATGAAATTTCCATTTCTGGCGAAACTTAGATCTATGTTGTCATCGCAATTGTCGTCGTCGTCGTCGTTGACCTCTTCGGCATCGGAATCGATTGAGCCATGGTTCCTGTACGCGTACAAATTGGGGGTTCTCATCGCGGTAGAGGATTTCCGTTGAAGGGTTTCGGCATCAAAGGCATAGAAAATTTGGGAAATTTCCGTTGAAGGGTTTGGGAAATTAAAATGCATAGAAAATGGAGTATAAATAGTCTCACAATTAATATATATCCTAAGTCCTAACTATTCCATTTGTTGTTAAAAAAAAGTACCAACACATAAAATGTATAAAATGAAAAGTTACTAGTCATAATTTATTATATTTTGTATTATTATGTTGAATTTCAAAATTTGTTCCAAAATTATACGGAAATAGTTAGATAGGTACAAACAAAAACTACAATTTTAAGTGGTTATATTGGAGGTTCAACTTATTTCAAACTGCATGTAACATATAGTTGAAAAAATTAATAGATGAAAGGAAGCGGGTCAATTTTAATCATGTTTTCAAAGAATTTTAAAGCATTCAAAATCAAATGTATAGAGTTGTATATAAGGTTTATTTTAGATATAATAATTTTATAAAAGCGATCAAAATAATTAGTACTATTGACAAATTGGTTTAAGACATGTGTCATTTTATAGACTAGTACGTAACTCGTGCGATGCACGGGCTGTATAATTTTGAATAATAATATAATTTCACTTGCATTAGGATCGAAATAGAAATCTATATATATAATAAGAATTAACCTTTCTCAGAAATAGTAAGTTAATTTTTGGTCAAAATACAGTTAGCATTAATTACATGCCATTTATATTAACTTTTTTTTGTTTGTTTAATATTATCCCTTTTTTTTTTTTTTCAGAACGATAGAAATATTATCCTTAAATTATGGAATTTGTTTGTTTGTTCAAAAGTCTGTTTCGAATTATACGCTTATCCATATTCAATAATATACAATAAGATTTACAAATCTGAGTGTGTAATGAAAACCATTTTCAGGACTCAAATTGCTATCTAATTAAACTCACTCTAAAATCATATATTTAGATAAAATCGTATTTACGGCTTATTGATTTTTGTAAACCATATTTACAATTTATTGATTGTTATTGATAAGTGCAATCCAATATGTTTTGTAAACGAATTAAGAAGAAATAAGTACACAATAGTCTAAAATGTAAATTATTTAATAAATTGATTAGTTTTGATTAATCTACACACAATGAAATTAATTTGCATTTGAATAATATTCCAACATTAATGTGATTTTTATAATTCGAACTATCCAAAATACAATTATTATTTTCAACATGTGTATTATTAGATATCTCAAGTTACATCTCAATATTCTTTTAGGATTCTAAAGAATCGAAATAAATGGAGAAATAAATCTTCAAGATAATTGGTCCTTAAATTCCTATTCCTATATTTAATGAGAATGTGATAAGTATAATCGTTTTTTCTCTGGGCAAATCAAACATTTTTGAATTTGAATAAGTTTCCAATATTTTGATAATTTATAGAATCTCGACTATCTTACATACTCTAGTTGGCACAAAATCAAGCGGTTTTAATTTTTTTTGAATTCGAATAAGTTTCCAATATTTTGAAACAAAAACACAATATTCACAAAGTTAATATGTGAATCGTTCTTCAGAATCGAACAAAACTAAGTTGAGAAAAACAAGTAATGTGGAGATGGATCTTATGAAAACCCTAACAAGTAGGAAAATCTCGCCTTTTATAGGTAAAATGGATTGTTCACGACCATTGTTTTTTGACCCGGACCGGCCAGGCGGGTCGACCCAGAGTCGAAACCGGTCAAGGTGGGCTATTTGGACTGGGTAACAATGGACCCAGTCAAACCCGGTCAAAACCCGGCAAACTCGACCTTGACCCGGTCGACCCGGGCCATTGACCCGGCCGGGTCAACCTGGTTGACCTTGTCTTTATAAATTTTTATTTTTCTTAATATTTTTTTATATAAAAAAAATAAAAACTATGTAAATATAATGATATAGTAAATATTTATTGTGAGATACAATATTATTAACATTTAAATATACAAATTTTGTATAGAAAATATTTATTTTTGTTACTTTTATGTATATTTATATGCCAAAAATACTATACATATAATTTTAAAAATTTTAAAATTAATTATCCAGTTCAGGAATTGACTTGGTCTGCCCGGGTCGATTTCCGGGCTGAGTTTAAAAACTATATTCACGACAGTTGATCATTTTGACCGATTTAGACCGTCCGATCACCGATTTCGTGCATGTGGGTCGTGTTATTGTATATACTGGCAGCTTGACTTTTTTGCATTATTTACGCTATTTTTTATTGAATGGAATCGCGTTTAACATAGAATATTTTAGATACTTCTTACATATATATGTTACCCCACATCTTTAATTTCTAATTATTAGTTAATATTGTCTACTCTCCTATTTAATTTATAATTATTATTTAATATTGTTTACCTGTGCATCGCACGGGCTACACACTATATATTATTAAAAACCTCCTTGTATACAACATTATGAGTTTGATTATTTGGTAACTCCTCATTATCACAAACTAATATTTTCAACCCCCTTCTATTATTTACACGCGAAGCAGCAACATATAATTGGTCGTGACTAAAAACGGGTTTCTCCAGGAAAAGACCAACGTGCGATAAAGATTGTCTCTGACTCTTGTTTATGGTTATGGCATACGAAACCATAACTGGGAACTGCCGCCGCTGGAAGTTAAATGGAATCCTAGTATCGGATGGAGTAATATTCATCCTAGGAATCAAGACCTTCTCGCCAGCGTGATCTCCTGTCAATATCTTGCGTTCGAGGACATGAGTAGATAGTTTAGTCACAACCAATCGAGTCCCATTGCACAGTCCCATAGAATGGTCCATATTGCGCAACAACATTACCGGAGTTCTTATCTTCAGGTGCAACTCATGTTTGAAAGTACCAGAACACTTGATGCTATTCAAGAATTTTGGCATGTGGAGACCTGCCAAGAAATCATTTCCGGAATCCGCCTTAGAAGTACTTTCCGAGCTCAAATACGTACGTACTCAATAACCTCCAACGTGGGAGCTAATATTGCCCTATCCTTCAAATAACTCGGATCGTCAGTTGCGTTTTTGAACATTGGATAGGTACTTTCTACAATCATAGCAATTGGATCATCTGAGGGATCCAATCTTATATCATCTGGAATATCGATTGCGGCACAACCATCATTTGGTCCTCCTATAGAATCATCTCCAATACTCGCAATCCAATCTGTAAATACAGCCACCTCGACACGTTCCTCCAAATCAGAAATGCTATGAAGACGCATGTTTTTCGTAAACCGGAGCACAATACAGTCCGTCCAAATGCTGGATGCATTAGTAGTTGCATTGACAATGTCCTGCCGGCTCCCCTTTGGAATGACTGGAAGGATCTGTCTGAAGTCTCCACCAAAGACAATCGGCTTGCCTCCAAAGGGCTTGCTACTATTCAAAGGGTCAACTGCGCCCATTAATGCCTGCAGTGATGTCTGAACTGCTTCATTTGTGCATCATCGGCACCTCATCCCATATGATTAGAGAGCAACGAATTATTAGTTCTGCAAGAGGACTTGCCTGATTGATATCACACGACAAATTTTCATGAATACTCAACGGTATTCGAAATCGAGAATGTGCAGTTCTTCCACCGGGTAATAAAAGCGATGCAATTCCACGCGATGCTACGCATAGAAAATTTTTACCCTTCGACCGTAATGCTGCAGACAAAGTCCTCCACAAGTAGGTCTTCCCAGTACCACCATAACCGTATACAAAAAATACTCCACCGGCACCTAAATCAACAGCGAACATAATTCTTGAATAAACTCTTTTCTGCTCATCAGTCATTCTCCGAAGAAGGGATTCGTGCTCCACAACTATTTCCTTTTGATCGTAATTAAGCTCATCCAATATAAGGCGATTTGAAGTGTTATGCATACTATCTCTGTCTGGATAAGGCATGGATGAATAATCACAAAGACTTGCACCTTGAATTCGCAACATAGTCTGAATCTCAGCAAGTGTCAGATTCTTAATAGCATCTTCACTGAGCCGCAAATCTAAAATGTTTTAAATATATATGAAAAAATTAAAAATGATAATAAATATAAAGATAAATTGAATATATATAAGAATAATATTTACCATCGTTATTGAACAATCTTTGTTGTCTATATAAAATGTCACTAGATAAAAATATCTAACGATGTTGCCATACGTCATTTGGTCTACGCATAGAACCGGAAACCAACAATGACACAAATATACGTCTAAGAGACTCCGCAGATGCCCAGTGACTTGCTTCGGTTATACCGTCTATGAACTCTCTGTCATCATCCAACAATCCGTGTTCATAGCAAGCATCTCTATATTTAAGATACAGAGTGTCGTCAACTTTCATGTAGTCCTCGTGGCATGTAGCACCGCGAACAACAGCTAACAGACATCTCAAATAGTAATTATCTCCACAGCCAGGGTTCACGTAGTGTAGGCGGCCTATTGTACCATCTTCCCTTTTTCGAGGTCTCCATACTCTGTCTGTTGCATCCCAAACAAATTTAGACAGTGACTCAACGTAAGTAAGCTGCCGAGCCGCTGGGTAATTCTTATTCGCCTCGAACCATGCAAGGAATTGACTCTCATTGACAGTTGGTTGGTTCAAAACATCCTCTAAGTCATCATCATATTCGAAAATAATGTTCTGCTGCCCTTTAAGATGGAAACTCAATCGTTGTATTGCAGGCCTCTTGTACTGCAACTCAAAACCAAGCAACCTCCAAGCAGCTTCACAGGAGGACACATAATGACAATCATAGTACATGTTGATCTCATCCAAAGGTTTTTCAACATCTCCATCTTCAGAACTCTAATAGCATGAGGCGGTTACACGATCATTTTCTTTGTTAACATACTTGAATAAGTATTTTATGGATCGTGATTGATTGCACCACTCAACATTAACATGCGCTCCATATTTCATCAACAAACGACGATTGTGAGGCACAACATAACCATTATTGAGAATGACAC